TACAAAAAATAAACAACTCATCAGAATATAAATCAACTAAATTCGGAAGACAAAGACTAAAGAAAAAGAAAAATATGCTACTTTAAACAATTTCTAAACTTTTCAGTTCTTAGCTACACTACACATACACAGTTATTTTATATATTTATATATAAAACTGAAGAAGAAGGGGATTTGTTTGTATATAGTTATTAAACTCTGCTCAATAGCTTCTGGCAAAATAAAATATTTATAGTTGATTCTTTTAGCTTAAAGCTTAAAAAAAACTTGTTCCTTCATATTAGGAAACTCAATTTACGTTTAGTTCATAGTCATATATATATAAATGTTGCATTTGCTTGGTTCCATAAAGTTGCTCGCGTTCCTTAAATTGTTTTTGTTTTGTTTTTTTTTTTTTTTTTTTTGTTGGTTGTTTTACATTAAATTTGATTTAATTTTTGATTATCAGGCTTGAAAGACACAATTGTGTCTGCACTCTAATGTATGTGAATGTGTATGTGCTTGTTTATCGTTATGGTTATCGATATATCGAAACCTGTTTGCATTTGTAAGGTTAGGTTTAGTGGTTCTTTTTACTTTGGTTTTTGATTCTTATTCATTGTTTTTAAAGAAATATTCACATATAATTAAATAGAATTACAAATTACATATTATCTAATACATATTACAATTACATTTATTATATATATATATATWTGTATATATGTTATATATACTCTCGTATAACTTGAAGCATTTGTTTTTTATTTGGTGTTTTTACTTTTCTTTAAACTGGTTATTGAGCTGTTCATCTTCTTCTTCTTCKCTTTTAGAGCACCTGCAAGTTCTCGCAATGCTTGAACTTGGAATCCTCCTTGCCCAGTATCCAGGTGAGCATCTGTCGTGCCTTCATGCTGGCCAGCATTACGCTGCGGCTCTTATACCAATGAGCCGGAGAGCTGCCATCGCGCGTACCCTAGAAAACGATGGTAAGTCAGAATACTTGAATAGTTTACACACTTCAATTTTCATCTGCGTATGTATGTATATATTTGGAATATTTGTAGTGGTTAAACAAACTTTGTTTTTGTCCCAAAATGTCAGGTGTTTGGTTTAGTCGGAAAATTGTGTGTATGTGAATAGCAGCAAAATGTAGCAAAGGAATAACAAACAAGAACAAATCAAACATGATGCATGAGGTAAATTGAAAACAAGTTTTCTACATTTGACATCATTTTCATTTTTGGCACACCTACAAACTATGAGTGTATTAATAATATGCATTTTTAAGGGGAATTTCTGGGGAGTAATAGGGACAAGATACCAAAGAGAATAGGTTTACAATGGTGAATATGAAAGTTATCGATATACGGGTCGATCTATAAATTAACTTAAATTCTTTAAAGACTTTCACAGATATTTTCCGGAATTGACTATATTATATCTATAATTATCCACTGATTTCACGGTTAGGTTCTGCATGCGAATTAGTTAATTTTTAAAATTGACGTAGGACAACAACTGAACTTGGAGCTAAGGGGTCTAGTAATTCATTAAGATAAAGAGAGAAAGAGAGAGAGAGAGAAAGAGAGAGAGAACTTGAAAGTGGTTATGGGAAACGGGGTAACAATTAGAACGGAACTGTAGTTGCTGTTGATTTTGCTGACAGCATTACTTACCGCATCGTCGGCCTTAAGATCAGTCAGAGTCAGACATTTATCAGTTTCTACAGTCTCTACGTGCTTGTCTTTGCTATCTTTAAATTTAGTTTTGTCTTTAGACTTTTTTGGATTCAGCTGCGAAAGCGATCGATTACACATTACACATAGTACATCGAAAATAAATAAAATTACACAAATCAATGATAGAGATAGATAGATTAAGAGAGACAAAGAGAGAGAGAGAAAGAGATCGAGATAGAGATTGAGCGAGAGAGTTTGAAAAGCGATGATGATGAATAACAAATAATTGTTAAACAAAAAGTCTCGAGTATTTCGTACAGCTAGTCGCTTCTGCCATCATCGAGGTCTATGGACATTGCGTTCCATTGCTCTCTATCAACTTACGTGCAATAGATTTTGATCCTTCTTCAAGCGTATTTGGGTCAAAGTGCCAGCGAGCAGTTCATCACAATTATGGTTAATGCCCACCGAAACCTCGATGAATTTGGCGCCAAAGGTGCAGGCCAGACATTTACCATCTAAACGAGTGAGAGAGAGAGAGAGAGAGAGAGAGAGGGGAGTAGAGTGTTAGCTAATGAGCGTTGGTCACGCACTGGCTGGACAACTTGCCCTGCGCTGAGACGGCGCGTGATCTGGCCAAATCAATTTTGTTGGCCACCAAAATGGTGGGTCGATGGCGCAGCAAATCCATGTCCTGCAGACGTGATAATATCTGCTTGGCACGCGTAAACGACTCCTTATCAATGCAGGAATAGACAACCAGAAATGCGTCCGCCTTCTCCAATTCTTCCTGAAACAAAACGAAACAAACGAAACCAAAAGAAAAAAAAAACAAAATTATTCAACAAGTTTTACAAACTCAACTCGAACTTTTAAAAGGCTTAAACGAGTGTGCGCCTCACTGTGTGTCTGTGTGTGTGTGTGTGTGTGTGTGTGTGTGTGTTTGTGTTAATTTAAAAGGCAACATTAAAAGTTAGTAAAGCTCAACTAGAAACTACATCTGACTGAGGCAGTCCAACCGCTGCATGCAATGCCATAAAATGCCAGCCCACAGCCATGTCCTGCTGCCTGCATTCGTGTTTCCTGCCTGTTTTTTACTTTACGCTCGTAAAAATTAAAATTATGGCCACTTTGCTCCCATAAAGAGGAACATTGTTCACAAAGAGTGAAAGAGAGAGGTGGAGAGAGACAGAGAGTGTGGGAAAGAGAGAGCGTGAGCCCACCTTTGCTTGTTTCATTCTGTTGCATCCGTATCTAGGTTCGCCGCCACGAATGTGCAAAGTTTCGCTGCACTTTTAATGATACTTTAAAGCACCGTCTAAATTAACAGATGTTTTGAATATTTTAGAAGTTTGGGTCATGCAACGGTTTCTGGTTGCACTTATAGCAATTGCAGCTCGGTCAGTTGTTCTGCGCTTTTTATTTCTTAAATTTTGAGCACGTGTTTCTTTGCTTAAGATCAACTAAACTTAGGGATCCGAAGATTTTAAGAATAGAATAGAACAGCAATTATCGAAATAGCATATTTATTGATTGATTCTTTCAAAATGTTGCCAGAGAAGTTTCTTATATACTCGCTCAATAAATAACCGATTAAGCTTTTTGATAAGGCGATAATTTATCGACAGCTATCATAGTTATGTCAGCTTCTGACTTGCCGATATCTTTATATTTGATTGCTTAAAAAATTCGTAAAATACATCTATATACATTGCGCTTATGGAACTTATATCGTCTTTCAATAACTCTAACCTCTTGACTCAATCGATTACTTATCGATACTATACGTATCCCCATCCTACTTGAGCCACATATCGTCATTGTTATTTCGGTTTTTTTCGCAGTAAGTTGCTTTCCCAAGCGTTGCAAATGGCGGATGTGACACTGCATTTTCTAAGTTTTTCCTACTATTATTCTCTTGCTTCTTCTTGCTCCACCCGTTCTCCTGGCTGGCTGTTTGCGGCGTGGCGAAACAGCGACCATAAAGCAACGCCAGGCACATCCGGCATTTTGGCAGGAATTTACGATTGCCAAATGCACACAGCAAAAGTTGTTAAAAATGACTGGAACTGTGCGTGTGTGTGTGTGTCGGTGTGTGTACAAGCCAGCCAAGGTGTTTATGATTGACGGACACGCTTGTGTGCATTTGCCTTTTGCGTTGAGCCAACAAATTTGTGGTTGATTATTTGTTCTTTCAACTTTCAACTTTTGCTTTATTTAATAAATACGCTTTGTGCTTTGTGTGTCCAGAATGGATAAATTGTTGCCATTTCCTTTTGTTTGTCAACGCTGCAATATGCCTGTGCACCCGCACTCATATTCACACTCCCACTCTCCCTCGCTCTCTTTCTCTCTCCCTCTCTCTTTCGCACACTCTCTGTCTGTCTGTCTGTTGCCCCACAGTCGTTGCCTTAATCATCGTCATTATTGCTCGCGCCAAACTGCGTTGCCCTCAACTCAATCCGATATATGTACATACATATATATGTATATATGTATCAATATATATGTTTGTTTGTATGTATATTTTCTTGCCTCAGGATCACTCTCCACTCGCCCCGCATCCGCTCTATCTATAACTTGCGTCTTTGTCGTCGTATCGCCCGTTGGGCTTCTTGCTGGTCATTTGGCATTTGGCCAGCAATTTGGCATTTCGATTGCATGTTTATCGCTCTGCTCTGTTTGTTCATGTTTTTGTTGCTGTTGTTGTTGTTGTTATTGCAAAAATTGTTCAGCATTTGTTATTCTTGCCATTTGGCCATAACCCGCATTTTCCTTGCTTTCACAATTATGAGCGTTACGTATGGGCCAGAAACAGCAGCAGCAGCAGCAGCTCCTCTTCTTCTTCTTCGTCTTCTTCTTCTTGTATGTATTTCATAAGAGCATATTGCTGCCTGTCATATATAGCTGAGGCGTACAAATGATCTGCTTGATTCGCAATGCGCAGGTCCTCCACGGTCAATTTTAATTGCTTTTTGAAATTTGGATTTGTTTATACATATATTTCATAAATTTTATTTATTTTATAAATATTTATGGGCAGATATGTGCTATAAATATTTGTTTTTTAGCGAATTTTTTCAAATAATATTTGTTATATTTCTAGTATACAAATTTTATTATTAATTATATGATTGATGGGATATGTTTACAATATCAAACTGATCAAAGATCTGAATGTTT